CAAAAAACCAATAAACACTAATTAAATCTCTGGGCTCCAGCTGAACAATCAACTTTTAATTGCTACTTCAGTGTTAAAAGAGATATCCCAAGATGCCCAAATCCTGGCAGGTGTGTGAGAACAGGCACAATGAAGATGCCCAATGCAGCTGCTACTTTTCACCTGGGCCATCACTGGAGTAAGGCAAGAATGAGCCGAGAGATTTCCATCCTGGGCCATGAGGCACACTGGCTGCTTCTCAGGTGGAGGAAGATAGGGAACATGAGCAGCATGTCCACTAACGGAACTTGTTGAGGGGATGCTGGCCACTGGTGATCCAACTTTTCTTTCCCTATGGGAAAATGAGGGAATAATGGCAGGAGGAACATAATGTAAGAACTCTAAAGCTCCAAGCCGGGAGGTTTGTTGCTGGGTTCTTTGGCAGTAGTGGGTTTTAGGCCAACAGAAGCAACAGAGATACGCATGTGTAGAATCTCCTTAGGCCGACTCTTCCAGGACCGTGGTTTAGCTGATGCTGAGCTGGGCAAATCCTATGAGTTTGCCATCATCAGGAATATCCGAGCTTTCAACCCCAGAAGCCTAAGAACCAAACAGAATGACAAGGTGTGGCCATTTATAAATAAAATTGCAGGAAGCAAATAAAATTGATAAGGGAGTATGGAAAGGAAGATAGCAGGTGAAAGGTCCCCAGGATATAAACAGAAAGCTGACGTGTTTTTTTCTAGAGAAGATGTGGCTATAGGTGCAGCTAGAGTCAGTCAGACTGCTTTATATTTTTTTCTTGACAGGAGCAGAGACCTGCGACTGTAGCCTTCTGAGAGGTAGAGCAGATGAAGGACATTCAAAAGGAGACATTAGCCCAGGGCCTTGGGAAAAGTAAATGAACACAATCTAGTATATTTTAATAGTCTCAACATTCAGGAAATATAAAATCTGGTCTACAAAGATTGCAGGTATATAAAAGTTAGATGTTTTAATGAGAAAAAAAAGATTACCAGCTTAAAAGTGACAGATCGATTTGACTGAGGTTCTTCCACAATTTTCTGCAAATTAGCTGCCACTGTAACCACATAAACAGAAAAAAAA